CACAGCCAATCCTCTCCCCTTCCGAAGGAGGAAAAAAAAATAGCTAGATAAATAATTTTCAGGAAGGCAATTTGTTTCCCAGGGTCTATATTCCTTTCTGTCTCATCTACCGGTTTTTACCACTGTGAGGCAGTGGCAATAAAGAGCTGTCTCCAGAAGTGGCTGCGTCTGCTCCTGCCAGCTTTCATCTGGAAGCCCACTTCAGGGTTCAGGCAATGAGAAGCAAATATTTTTTGGAAAAGACTTTTCTTTTTTTCTTAATGTTAGCAGCAGTTGTGTATGTGTGCATGGGTCGGGGGTGGAGGTGGAAAAGGATGGGAGTGGATGAGATTCGTAGAGGGATTTATTATATTTTTAAAATTCTTGGCTGGGCGGGGTGGCTCATGCCTGTAATCCCAGCACTTTTGGAGGCCGAGGCGGGTGAATCACCTGAGGTCAAGAGTTTGAGACCAGCCTGACCAATATGGTGAAACCCCATCTCTACTAAGAATACAAAAATTAGCCGGGTGTGATGGCGTGCGCCTGTAGTCCCAGCTACTCAGAAGGCTGAGGAGGAGAATTGCTTGAACCTGGGATGCGAGGTTGCAATGAGCTGAGATCGTGCCATTCGCCATTGCACTCCAGCCTGGGTGATACAGCGACACTGTCTCAAAAAAAAATGGAAAACTTGTTTTGAGTTTCCATCCAAACTAGTTTGAGGAATGGCTAGAATTATAGCTGAATTTTGGTTGGAGATGAAAAATAATTTCCTGGGCTAAGTGTGGCAGCTCACACCTGTAATCTCAGCACTTTGGGAGGCTGAGGTGGGAGGATTGCTTGAGTCTAAGAGTTTGAGACCAGCCTGGGCAACATAGCAAGACCCCATCTCTACAAAAAATAAAAAATCATAGCTGGGCATAGGTGGTACATGCCTATAGTCCCACTTAATGCAGAGACTGAGGTGGGAGGATCACTTGAGCTTAGTAGTTCGAGGCTGCAGTGAGCTATGATCATGTCACTTCACTCCAGCCTGGGTGACAAAGTGAGACTGTATATCTTTAAAAAGAAAAATAATTTCCTATTTGTAAATGTTGGAGAAAATGGAGAATTTCTTCCATAGAAAGGTATGCTATCTCCTTCCAGTACGCTTCTCTGGAATAATCTAGATCCTGCTGAAAGCAGTATCAGGAGGAAGACTGGGCAGGGTGGGTAAGAGGCCTGCTCTGCCCTCACTGGCAGTGTATCTTTGGAGTGAGATCTTTTTTTCATGCGTAAAAGGTATTGAAAAGACACTTGCTTTGTCCATCTCACAGAGTCTTTTTTCTCCCAAAGATTTAATGAAACGTTGTAGATAATCGCATTTTGAAAAATAGAGCGTTACATACAAAGAAAGGTAGAATTATTATTAACGGGAGCCTCATCCCACACTGCGTGCAAAGCCCGCTGTTTAGGAGTGTTCAGAGTAATTGCAGGCTTTCTGTCCTGACTGCCTGACAGCCTCATGACTCAACACAGGAAAGACGGGAGATTCAGAAGCTTAATTTGTTTTTTTCCATGTGGCATATTTGACATATGTACTTGCGATTGCAAGCAAATGTTGTCAAGTCTTTTCTCTCCACTTTGAAAGACATGAAAACCTTCAAAGAAGGAAGTCAATTCTTGCAGAGTTTGACAGCTGTTTTTAACTGTCTCCAAAGATCAAAGCGCAGCTCAGGAATGAGGGGGAAAAGATATTGGCTTCTTTTCTTAATCAGGATCTTACAGTGTGGAGGCAGCAGAAATGAACATTAAAGACCAAAATGGCCAGGATTATGAGTTCCGTTCCCCAAGATGGCTCAAAAAAATGGCTTAGAAAAGACAGGTTTGCCCCTGTCGTGCAGATGGCGGGATAAGTAGGCTAACGTTATCATCACCGCTTTGCAGATGAAGACACAGGCCCAGAGATGCCAGGTCACAGAGCCAGGGAAGGGAGGTGTCAGGACTCAGGCTCTGGTGTTCTAATTCCAACCCTCAGGAGCGTGATACCCTCTGGCTTCCGAGGGTGAGTGCTCTATTTACTGTGGTCCTTTCTTTCCCATCCTGTTCTCTTCTTCCACTTTTTCTTCTTCCTCCAATTTAGGCTGGTCACCTTTATCTATGGGCATTAGCTGAGCCGTGCCAGTGCTATCACTCCATGCAAAACCGATTGCCACCTCGTGTGCTAGACTTTAAGGGTGTCTGGAATGACAGCATTCAAAAGCGGGTGACCAGGTCAGTGGAATTCTAGAGCCACCTGATGCGGGACCCACAGACTACTTTCGAAGTTACTTTCTGAAGTCCGGGAGTACAATCAAGCCTGCGGCGTCCAGGGTCCTCCATAAAATTGAATTAGAGTGCCGAGTGAATTAACTGTTTGCTCCTCTTCTTGTGTGATGCATTTTTAATTACATTTCATAAAAATGTCTGGCTGGATTGATGGAACTTTATTTAAACTTCAGGTTGGCACTGGGAATAGACGATGGTGCAGTATAATATGTTCTGTTAGTATAGGCTCAGAACATGTGTACTTTATGGCAGTTCCACTGAATCTTTGATGTGGCGCTACTTAAAAATATATTACCTTTGAAAAGATTTCCTTTGAAAGATAGAGTGGGTGCTTTAGCAGCCTGGAAGCCGTCAAGCAGATGATCAATTGACAAACACGTCAGCACTTATAATTCACTGCACTGGCTCCCCTGATACATGCAAAACACGGGTTTATTTCAGAAATAGAATATATATCTCCAAATCCCTTTCATTCACATTGCACGGTTTATGAGGCAAGTTTTGTCAAGCCTAGGCCCTTCACAAAAAAAGAAGAGTCTCTTTGGTCTGTCTGCCCCGCCTTTCCTATCAACATGGGTTATTTCAGGCTCTGAACTGGGCATACGACATGAAGAAGGAAAATAGATGCTCCTTAGAGTACACAGCAGCCCAGACCCCAGCCGCAGAGGGAGGTTATATTTCCTCTTGAAGATTGTATTTATACTTGCAAAAAGCTATCACTGTTCTGCCAGAATATGTTTTCTTTTTTTTTTCCTCCATGAATCCTTTTGATGGAAACAGAAAATTGTGTTTTTTTCCCTGGAGTGGAACTGTTTACAGTGTCCCTAAAGTGTTGGGTAAAGGGCTGGGCGCAGTACCTCCCTCTTCACAGCTCTGGGGCCTCCATGGTCAGGAGGATGAAGGTTGTGCTCCTCCAGAGTGGAGCTGGCTGAGGAAGAAGATGGGCGTGATATGCGCCCCTTAGCTTGATCTGCGGTGGGTTCCTCCTTGTGTGTATCCCCAACAGTCCTTGGTTTCTAACTCTATGAAGAAAAAGCGCAGACTCATGGGTCTTCAATGAGTTGGGTCCATTGGCTTAATAAGAATTTTTTTTTAAAACCCCAAAACAAAAGGCAGAACAAAGAAAAACTGTCCTCCCTTCTCCCTTGGGCAAAGGAAGTGGATTTGGTGTAGCAAGGATACCCTTCTTGGGTGGCAGGGAGAGGGCGGGCGTGAGCAGCACATCTGAGACTGTGCAGCTGGGTTTGCCCCCTTCTGCCACCAGCAATGTGTGCTCCAAGGCAGACTCAAGTTTGTGGAAGGCCTGGTCTCTAGGAGGGGCAAAACTGAGCAGATGCCAAGAAACTGTTCCGTTGTGGATTTAATTTCTTTTGTACAAAGTCTAATGTGTAATTTGAGCTAAGTCTAGTAGTTGGTATGGTAGCCAAAAACACATCTTTGACCCACCTGCTCCTATGCTGGCTTGGCACTGCTTCGCCTTTGACCTCATTGACCCCCAGCCCCCAGCCCCTTGGCAACCCCTCTCTGTCTTCCCTGGAGTGGGGGAAGCTGACTTGGAATTCCAGTAGTCTTGGGTCACTGGGTAACACAATGGTGTCACCAGCTCACTGTCCCTGCTGCCTAGGTCTGGTGGCAGCTGGGGGCTCTTATGACATGACATGTGGGGTCCTATGGCAGGAGCTTTGCCCTGTCCTGACACATGTTGGCACCAAGCAAATGTGGAGGTCTTCCAGAGGGACAAGGAGGCATCATGGGCATCTCCCCAGCTGATGGCAGGAACCAAGGTGCCCTGAACCCCTCATCTGCCACCTGTAACATGATGGGGGGCACTTCTTGCTGCTTACCAGCCTAGCCTGTTCAGGGGCAACCTCCAGTCTCAGCCTTCTGCCATGCACGCTCACGGAAACCATCAGTCATTCATTCTGGACTGTCCTGTGTGATCTCCGTGACACTGACCCCTTCTGTGGTGGAGTCCTCTGGCTGGCTCCCTGCTTTCCCTGCTAGCCTGCATGGCCACAGCGGCGGGCATTCGGCCACCCTTTCCACTTTCTACCCAGCCCTGGACTTCTAAGATGAGGCCCTTTACAGAAGGAGGCCTGGGCTGGAGACTCAGCCTTGCTTCCCCTCACTGCTGGTCTGGCTCTACTTCACATCCTGGTTCCAGTAACTAAAATTTTTATGATTCCTGTGGTTACACCCCCTTATGGCACCTCAGTTTCACCCACTGTATCCCACTCCAGTCTCCCTGCAGCTGGGGAACAGCTTGGTTTCCTCGGAGCTCCAGGAATCCTGCCCCTAAATCCTAGTCCAGGCAGGGCCCGGTTTCTGAGCAGTCCCACCTGAAGCCACTTACCTGTGAGCTAGACCTCAAAGGCTGCCCACATTGTGTTTCTCCTGCTTACTCAGCTCAGTGCCCAGCCTACCTAAGGCTCACCCCATGGTAACCCAATGGTTGCCTGCCCAATCGTTTAGGGAGAATGCCCAGATCTTTATCGGGCAAGATACCTGAACCTGGTTCATTCTCATGTGCTTATCTCAGCCCCTGCCCTGCCGGGTTGGCTGGACTTCCCAGCATTGCCTGCAGCCCAGGCAGCTCTCAAGTGTCCACCCAGAGGTGGGTGTGGCTTGGCTTTAGCATCAGCCAGCCCGGGCACTGCCTGAGCACTGCTCTGAGATGGAGGTGGCAACAGGAGCACACGTGAGCAGATAGCTGGGTATGTGCATTTCCAGCAGAGGGATGGGCTGTGGCCCCTCTTGGTAGTTTCATCAGCTGTTCTTTGAGTGCCTTTGAATAATAACTGGACAAGTTGAGGTGGGATTCATTTACTCAGAGTCATAGCCTCTCTCTAGGGGAGGGCGCTGTAGTCCCTAGGGACTCAGTTTAACAAGTTTTTGAGCCCACAATCTATTTTAGAAAGAATGGGTTTGAGGTCTATAATTTCCCCAAACTTAAAAAAATCAGCTTTGCAGCAGATCTGGAGGATCGTCCCTTAGCTGTACCCCAGTGGGTAAGAATCCTTGTATTTTGCCAACCCACTGAGCGGGCATTGAATCACTCAATTACTGCAAAATCTTTTCTAAATAGAACACATGCCACAGCCTCCAGTGGAAACATTCCAAGATCTGCCGCAAATATCTAGCTCATTGGCAGAAGCAGGTTTTTGGCATGAACAACTGTTTTTCACTTTGATTTTGACTCCAGCAGAAGTTCTGCAAGATGACCTGGGAAGAAAGTTGGCCAAGAAGCCTCCGAGGGGGGATTGGCATGTAAGTGTATTTGCCTTACCTACGCTGTCTTCTGAGCTCCAGCACGCCAGGCATGTGGAGAATGGGGTGCCTGTTTGTGAGGTTTGGTTCACCCTACTCAGTCGAGAAGCACGTAACACGTAGGGCCGTGAGAACATTTGTAACGCGCTTAGGCCGAGAGTCAGTGTGGCTGGTATTGTGAGCTGTCAGCTTTAAGTTTATGACATTGAAACTCAGCTTGAGAAGGAGGAGAGGACAGAGGGTGGGTGGGGCTGTATGTTTTAATCCCAGCTCACTCAGCCTTCTCATTTTGGGAGCCATGCACGTCCAAACAAAGCTCTCAGTGGAGACTTCAGTGCTGTGGCACTACTTAATCTTAAAACAAAGAAGCTTTCCGATCATTTGTGCACCCATGTCTGCTTTAGGCAGCTGGAGTGACACACTACCTATGGGCAATGGAACGTAATAAAAAGAGCAGAGAGATTCTAGCACCAGACTCATCTGTGCAAAATTTCACTCTATTATCTTCTTAGCTCTATGACCTTCAGCAAGACACTTGAGAGGGGCCTCCCCTCCACATCTTCGGTTTTCATATGCGCAAAACTAGAGGATGCTGTCTGCTTCATTCCCTGTTGTGAGGCTTAGGTGATCTCATGGAACGAACCCAGCTAAAACCCCATCAAGCATGCAGCAAATTAAGGCCAGCACTTGAAGGATTAAATACTGTCATTGTGGGGTCTAAAGTTCTGGTGAACCTTTGAACTCCAAGGCAGAGCAGGATTTGGGACTGAAACCGGTGACTGTTTAAAAGTCAGCCGACCCGCTGGGCAGTGGCCCTTCCAAGCCTTTCCAGGACGCCTCAGTAGGAGTTTGGTTTGCCCACCATCTCTGGGTCAGGCTGGACACTTGGCTGTTACACTTGGCCTTCTGGGCTGACTGCATGAGTGTGGCCCCCTTGTCAGCCTGTCAGGACACCTCCTCCTGTTGGCGCTGCGCCTCTGGCTGCGATTTGTCCTGGATGTGGCTGTTGCGGGGCTCCGGTTGAAGCCCGTGGCCCAGCACACAGAACTCTGGGGGAGATGCCTGCCTGCCACTGCCCGGTAATTCAGGGGCACAGGGGCTGCTTCCTGGCTCTGCATCCTTCTTAGGGCTCTCCTCGCTGCTGCTGCTGCGGAGAGAAAGGACAAGGGCAGGTCAGACACTCCTCCTCTGCGGCTCTTTCCCACCCCATCCCCTTTCTCCATTCTCCCTTTCTGTGCCTCCCCAGCTCTCTCCCACAGGCCCATGCACCCTGGAGGCCAGGCCTCTGACGTCTGTACCAGGCTTGTGGGGCTGGTGCTGCCGTTGCCATGTGTCTGCAGGGGTGGGTGCTGCGGGCACTGGGGTGACAGGCTGAATCCTGTTCTTTCCCCTGAAGCCCTGGATCCTGCTGCTCTGAACAAAGCAACTCTCTCAGAAGCTCTGGGAGCTGGGCCTTTGTTTTGTTTTCGTTTTTAAAGCACTTTGTTTAATAAGGGCTAAGCTTAGCCAGTTGAATTAAAGACAACAACAACAACAAGGAAAAAAACCAGCTTCTCACAGCTGCCACCCTCTCCCTGAATAGAGAAAAATGCAAGCCGCTTGGCCCAGCCAGGCCCCGAATTTGGCTAGAACAGAGCTTCCCAGCTGCGGAGTGACACAGCTAGGAGGGGCTTTGCATGGGGAGGGGACCTCCAAAGGATTTGGCATGCATGGGAGTGCAGAATGGAGGGTGGCCCCCAGCGGGGAGCAGGCTGCGGCTAGCAGGGGACCAGCCCAGGAAGCCACCCTGGCCATCTGCTGGCAAGACAGCCTGAGGCTCCCTGGGGGAAATTAGAGGCTAGCTGCCTGGGTTCAAGTCCTGACTCTCTGGCTTTCTGGCTGTGTCCCCTGTGGCATGTTAGTTCATTCCTCTGCGTGTTAGTTTCCTTCCTTATAAAATGGAAGTAATAATAGTGGCCATCTCATCAGGCACTCATAGGTATCAATACTGGGTGAAGCATGGATGACCTTTGGCATACTATTGTATTAATAGCATAAGTGCTCCATGGGGGGTGGGGATACTGTGGTGCCACATTGTTGAATGAATAGGAAGTGACACTAGGAAAGGGCTCTAGTGACCACACTATTATCCCACAGAGACTCTGGGGCCTTGGTCCGAACTCTCAATCTGTCGCCTCAGGGCCAGGACAGGACCCTGGGTCCCCACATGCACAGGCAAGAAGGCCTTCTCTCTGCCCATGACCGCACATTCTTGCCCGATCTGTGAGCCTTGTTGTGCAGTGTGCTCAGCTCTGTAAGGTTAGACTTACGTGGGATGCCAAACCAGTGGAGAATACGTTTGCATTTGGACCTGAACAAAATCAAGGTGGGTGGTGGGAGTGGCGGGTAAGTGAGGTGGGCGCCAAGACAGCACACAACTATGATTGTCACACAGGAAGGAACCCAGCTCACTGTGCCATGGAGACAGTCTCATCGGAGTTGGCCTCTGGCCCCATCACAGGTGCCTACAGGTGTTCAGGGCCCAGGGCCCACTGGGCAGCGTGATCCAGGTGGCTGAGTAAAGGCGGCAGAGTGCACATGCCTGGGCAGTCCGGTCAGGCAAGGACTGAAAGCATAGCATTGAGGGGAGAAAGTCTGGAGCCTTCTCGAATGCACATAGAGCCCCAACATCCTGAGACCTAGAGGCTGGCACCCCCGCTAGGGGATTTGGCACATAAGTAACAGTAGACGCTCAGTAATTGAGCTTCCTGGGTAAGCCTCCAAGGCCTGTTCCCAATCCCCAGGGCCCCGAGATCAGGAGATAGAAACATCATCCATTTTTCTACAAAGGGGGCTCCTGCCTAGCATGGGGTGTCTGGAAGGGCAGGCTGGTTCAGTCTGCAGCCTACCTCCACTGCAAGATATTGTGGCTGTGCCTGTGTCCCTGCATGTGCATGTCCCTGTCTGGGGAAACAGCACGTTCTCAGTCTCTGGCTCTCTGGCACTGGCTTGTTGCATGATCTTGGGGGAAATCATGTGCCCAGTTCCTGGTGTTGTTTCCCCAGATGCAGGATGGCAGAAAAAAATGCTTGCCATCCATAGGGTGGCAAAGGCTTGGTGTGTTTACAGCACGTGCGTTTCTGCTCCCAGATGCCAGCTTTATGCCTGGAGACAGGGTTGCTGGGGAATGAGCACTTTCCCATCACAGTGTGGAAAGGCTTAGAGCTGTGTGGTGGTATAAGAGGCAGGGGAATGGTTGTGAGTTATTATATGAACTTCCACATGACCTTGGGGAGCCTCCTGTTTATGAACTCTCCTCTCTCTCTCTTTCTTTCTTCTTGAGATGGAGTCTCGTTCTGTCACTCAGGCTGCAGTGCAATGGTACAATCTTGGCTCACCGTAACCGCCGCCTCCCAGGTTCAAGTGATTCTTGTGCCTCAGCCTCCTGAGTAGCTGGGACTATAGGCGTGTGCCACCATGCCCGGCTAATTTTTGTACTTTTAGTAGAGATGGGGTTCCACCATACTGGCCAGGCTTCTCTCAAACTCCTGACCTCAGGTAATCAACCCACCTTGGCCTCCCAAAGTGCTGGGATTACATGTGTTAGTCACTGTGCCTGGCTGTCCTTCATCTTTCAAGCCACTGTCTCCTCCCCACCACCTCTGCCCCAATTATTGAGATTCAGGACATAAAACAACCTTTGGGCTGCCCTATTCTGAGGAGAAGCCTGGGAGAAGGGCATTATTTTCTTCTTGAACAATTTTATGTTACTTTATTATTGTTCCTGCTGTTTTAAAATGTTAGTGTTTTTAATTAATGTCATTTTATTGTGCCTGTTCTCTCAAGCTCTTCCCCTGAAGGGCACAGTTTTTGAAATCTAATAACTGAATAAGTGGCTGGAGTGAGGAATAATGCATTAACATTTACAGAGCTTCTTAGATGAAAACCACTGTACTGTAGGAAGCTCATTTTAGATTTAAGAAAAGAACAATGTTACATTAAGATTCTTGCAAAAATAATCAATATTTCATTTCTTTCAAGTGGCTGGGAAGTTTATCTAACTGTAATAGTGCACAACTTTCCCGAGATAATATCTTTATTTAAAATTGACTGCCGAGGACTTTGTAAAAAATTACCATTTGTGCCTGGACAGATCGTGAAGTCTGCAACACATATCACTGGCAGAAATTTAACTGCTGATTTGCACAGTCATAGGCTCTACACAGATAGCAAGGACGGATGGTAGCTGAGCTTTGTCTGATCTGATATCAAGACGCATTGATAAGAGTTCTTCTCTAATAGACCTCAGGTATTTTTTTGTTTCTACATCACAGTTTGAGAAAAGGTACATTTCTCCATGTATTCTGTAAAATAACCACTGGAGCATCCGAGTTCTTGCAGTCCTCATGCGATGGCCGTACTTTGACTCGTGCCCCATTGTGGCTGCATGTCTGGGACTGTCAGCAAGGCTGGGCCAAGGGCGTGCACATCTGTTCCCTGATGAGAAAGGCACACTTGGAACTCAGCCTGCCCCGGGGGAGGTAGCAACTCCCTCCCTGGATTCTCGTACTCGGCGCTCATGAATACTCTTGTCCTCACTATATGAACTTTTGAAGTTAGAGGAGAAGTGGAGCCAGGTCCTCGGGGTTACAGGAAGCCACACATTTATATTCCATGCCTCCAGGACTAGCTGTTCTCAAAGTGTGGTCTGGGGACCCTTGGTTATTCCCGATACACTAATAGGTCAAAACTATTTATTTGACCCATGAGGTCAAAACTATTTTCATCATAATACTAAGATGTCACTTCTCCTTCTCACTCATTCTCTTGTGAATGTAGGGTGGAGATCCCAGAGTCTGCTACATGACGTGTGAGATCCCAACAGACTGACTATGGAAACAGAGCTGAGAATCCAGTTATCTCTTCATGTTAAGCCAGATGCTAAAGAGATTTGAAAAATGTAAGACAGTGCTACTCTTTTCCCTAAATTTTTTGTTGTAGAAAATACTCTTTTTGTAAAGACATATGCATGTGAAAAGACCTACTCTACATTTGATAGGTGTACCTGAATGTGACGAAGAGAATTAATCCAAGCTGGAAAATACGCTTCAGGATATTATTCAGGAAAACTTTCC